TGTGTGTGTGTGTGTGTGTGTGTGCACGTGTGTGTGCGCGTGTGCCTGCGAACAGCCGCAACTCAGCAAGGCGGTCTGTCCGTCAGCAGGCAGGGGAAAATAAAATATAAAGAGCGCCACTCTGTCCTCAGCTGAGACTTGCAGTGAAATGCTTAAATTTATGGTTACGACACCCCTGCATCATATTCTCAACAACTTTTTTATAGTTAGCTTTGCTTAGGCTGTCATCTTGTCTATGTTTTTTTTTTGTCAGGAATTAAGAAATGTGTAAATAGACAGGAATATAAAGTAAAAATGAGCACAAGGTCGTCGAGAGCATGGCTGAAATTTGCAAAATGCCAGCCTCACGTAGAAATCTGTCTGAGGGAAGAAAGCAATGAGAACAGCATATTGAAGACCTGATAAACCGGCACTTTAAGCAGGGATTTAAAAGCTCTTATGAGGATAAAATGTCAAAAAATAAAGTCCTGGCAACCACTCCATGTCCTGTGAACTGCTGTGTCACCTGGTTACTCTGTATTTGTGAACTCTGCAACGGATGTGTACAACGTCGCAGCAGCGGATAGAAGGAGTTAAAAGTCTCGGTTTTCTGTGCAAAATATGTTTCAGTCTTGATCATTTGGCTCTTGCCTGGTTCTATAAGGCTCTCCACAGTCTGCTTTCTCACAAAGTTGTTGGTCCTAAAAGTTGGCTTTAAGCTAAAAAAATAATGTTGAGAAGGTGGTCAGAAAACTGTACAGGAAAAAAAAATCATGTACTTATTGTGTGTCGAACCATTCAGGGGAAGTTAGGAAAAAGTGGATATCGTTTTGTATTGAGGAAAAGCAAACCAAAAGTAACTCAACTGATTTTGCTAATATGGTAAACATTATGCTCACAAACAACCCCTATGGTCTGAATGTTGACTTTCTGTCAGAGCTAGCTCCGCCAGGTCTTCCAGAGATTGAATTGTTTCTTCACTTTTGTGAAAACTGTTTTAAATAAAGAGGCCGTTTTTGGTGGGTTACATTTTTACTTTCGCAGATCTTCAAGTAAAGTAAGAGTGCTCACTACAAACTGTAATGCAGTATCAAAAGATGACAACCGCATGAGAAACTCCCATCTTAAAGGGTTTTATTGTCAAGAAGACAACAAGTTTTCTGTTTCTAACAACTGGAAGTCGCAGTCTGCAGTTCCAGAGCACTTTGGAAACTTTAATATTGCATGGAAGCTGTTCTCCTAAGGCTCATTAGTCATAGAAGTATACATTAAAAGACAACAGATTTGTCACTTTTCAATTTAAAATATACTTCCTGTTAATGTAAAAAGTAGCATGTAGTGTTTGGAGCTTTTTAATCACCAGTTAATCATCACAAACAGATCAAATCCTCTCGGGAATCTGTTGGGAACAAATCCATTGGAAAAGCTTAGCAAACTCAGATCTGAGCTGAAGAGCAGATCGCAGTAGCCTGTCTGAAACGGGGTTTGAGTTTTCTGAAAAAGTTTCCCTTCTCGTTCTGCTTTTGTGCAGGAGAAGCGCATAGCGTCGCTGGATGCCGCCAATGCTCGTCTCATGAGCGCGCTCAGCCAGCTGAAGGAGCGTTACAGCATGCAGACCCGCAACGGCATCTCCCCCACCAACCCCACCAAGCTGCAGATCACCGAGAACGGAGAGTTTCGGAACAGCAGCAACTGCTGAGGCGGCTCGGCGCGCGTCTGAGGCTCCCGGGCGTTGTACAGCGTGTTCCTCCCCCCTCCTCACCCCACCTGGGTCGACGAGTGCCTGTTTATAGATGGGCTGTGAGACTTGTGTGTGTGTGTGTGTGTGTGTGCATGGAGGTGTGGGTGCGTTTTAGAAAGGCAGTCGGCGTACTTCCGGAAGACATTTCCACTTTATTCCTCAGTTTGGAGACAAACGTTTGGCACGAGGACGTTTTACACGAGGGGCCACCCAGAAGGAGTGCAGCTCGGAGCGGATCACCAGATGGCCTTCACCGGGGGAGGATGGTGGAGAGAGAGCGGAGGCAGGGCAGAGCCTGTACATAGAAACTCCGAGCCGCGGATGAGTTGAGTCGCTGCGAATACCCGAGCGCCCGTCCACGCCTGGGACAAACCACTATAAGAGACCGCAAGCGTCGACCGTCCGCTCCTACCTTTCCCCCTCCCGACAGCGAAGTGGGCCCATTTAACGTCGAGGATTTTCACTTAAGTTTGTCTCCAGAGGTTTACTTTCCAACGCTTTATCTCAAAGTTTATGTTTTTAAAAGAACCAAATATGAGCTATAAATAGATATTTTTAAATCCAAAACAATCTTCTCCACGTCCCTTTTAACTCAGAGGTGTGTTCCTGAGCGTCCCGTTTACCCTCTCACCCCTGCAACCTCCCCTTTCCCCCCAAAGCAGTGCACTTTGTGAAAAGCTATTGGCACACGAAACGCCTTAACTCGGGAACACACCTTGACTTTAACCCCGCACCGCCTCCCGATTCTGCAAAAAAAAATCAAAACGCAAACCCCATAAAGGCACAACTTATACTGTGGATTTGTAGAGAAAACGACGTAAAACGAGATGAGATGTATTATAAATACTAAAGTAAATGAATTCTATGTGATGCTATAGTAATGAAATTTAACATAGATGTATGCATTTTTTTTTCTTCTAGAGTATACACACACATATACCTATATTTGATAATGTCAAATATAAAAGCAGCCCTTTATTTAAGAGATTTAGTGTTATTTTTCCTTCTCTGATGGCGAGAGACTGTAGTGTGTAGCTTGCTTTAGGAGCCCTGGAGAGGAAGACCACCCTGAACAGCGATCAGCACCTCAAACAGCCTTTATTTGTTCTTTATGTGATTCATGCAGGTGTTAGGAACCCCTGTATTATCGTTTCTGTTGTTTGTGGGGTGTTAGAGCGATAATACCGAGTTATAATATGTAGATTTCACAGCCTAATGGTACTAAAGCAAAAGTGCAGGATGCAATCTGATTGTGTTTAAAACCTAAAATCTTCAAAGATTCCTACTATACTACTGCTAAAATATACCGTACTGATTATTATCGTACAGTATTTTTTATATACACCCATTGGGAAATTTTAAAATGCTACCATTTAAAATTTTTTCTTGCCTTGTCAAAAGTAAAGGTAGAATAGTTTTTACTTTTTATTTCTTTGGTATTTGATCCCAAAAGCTGGCTCATGTCTAGAACGAGCACAGTCAATACACAGTAGTTTTTGTTGTTGTTGTTGTTGTTTTTCTGGTGCTCATCACTGCTCTGTCAACAACCCATCATTAATTATCTTGATTGTTATGATGTTGGTCGATTCTCTCTAGTTGCGCAGGAGCTACAGAGCGACGCGTCTCGACGCGCTCACTCACACTATACACTGGACTGGCAGAGCCGTCGTTTGTCATTGACCTCCATTCAGCTCATTTTCTCTCTAACTGCTTTATTTGTCCGCCGAAATGAAGTATGCTGCATCCAAACTGTGACTCCATCTATCCTCTCTCTCGCCTGCCCTTTTTTCTTGCTCCTGCCTGACCTAATCTCTTTTTCTTTGCTTGTTTTCTTGTTTTTTGTTGTTGTTTTTTTGCCTCTGAATGTATAGACGGCGTTGTAAAGTCTCGTGCTGTAACTCACTTTCGGCTCATAATCTGCTTTTCTGGAATCATTTCACATGCAAAAGTCTCAATACACCAACAGCCAGTCGTAGCATCTACACCCATCAGTTTCATTTGGTCGCCGGTTGGTCAGTGAGGATGGCTGCTCTTATACATATATATAAATATATATATAATACAATACAATATAATTATTGACTGCATCGTGAGATGGGAGATCATGGGATTGTGTAAATAAAATGCCCACACTATTTTTACCGGATGTTAACAGAGCTTTGTTTGTAAATGTTTTTTCTTTCTTTTTTTTTTTTATGTTGTTTTTTTTTTTTTTTTCGTGCTCAGACTCTGCTGTATCATTATTGGTATTGTAAATATAGAAGATAGCCCAGTCAGTCATCTGTCCTCATCGGGTAGAGCTATACAAATCAATTAATCTGTCAGTGTTCTCTCTGTTGAAAAGCTTTTGTGTTTGTATTTTACCGTGTACTATCTCTAGCCAAAAACAGAAAAGAAAAAAAAAAAAAAAGAACTGATCACGTAGGGGTTTGACTCTTGAGATGTATGCCTTGCTGGTTTCAAGCCAACTCGAGTCCGATGAGCTGCGCAAGCACAATCCTGTAAATCTCATCAGTCTCACTCAATGCACTTTTACATTTAGTGGTTGGTTTGTATTTCACTTTTTTTTTTCTTTTTTTTTTTTTTTTTGAACGCAGAACCCCGTTTCAGGCATTTCAAGGTTCCTAAGCAACTAAAGGGAGTTATCCTTATTTAAATTCCAGACATTTCACATCTGCATACTGCACAGCTCTCTAAAGCTGTTTTTATTATGTCTGCACAGATTAAAGCAAGACTATGATCCGTTTGTCAAATTCTTTATTTTTAAATGATAGCTACATGTACCGACCAAATTGGCTCAACAAACCTTTGTTTACATGCAGTCTAAGTTTACAACTAACTTCTGTGTCCTAGCAATTTCATTACTCGTTTGTGCAGCTAAAAGTCTAACTTAATATTTTTTTGTTTTTTTACAAGTAGTGCACGTTCAGGTCATATGAATGTGTACTCGATGTGTTTCTTAATTGTCTCATTTTTGAAAATAAGGTGTTTTTTTAGCATCTAGTTAAGCAGTAAAGCATTTTATAGTTTGCTAATTCTAGCAAAACTGAATAGGTCATTTCCAACTCTTTGACAGAGAAAGCACTAAACACGGATTTTTTTTTTCTTTTTGCAAATTAAAACTTGTAATCATTGTAACTTATTGAAATGATAACTCTGGAATGTATTTATCATACAGTTTATAGCCACTGTTTGACTAATTGCTAAACCACCAGATATTTTGCCATTTGCGAAACTGGGCGAATTTGCAAAGATGGTTGACTGTTAATGTTAGCAATTTGACGCTACTTTAGCTGCTGCTTAACTAAATGTTGAAATAGTAGGTGTTCTGATTTGTCACAGTTTTCAGGTTTGCCAGTCATTTTCCAAATAAACTTGAGATTTGACGTACTGTTAGCATTTCAGCACAATGCTAATTCACTGCTCAGTTTTTAACTATTTGTGAAAGTTGGCAAATGTACTAAATTATATTCCAAATAAGCTCAAGAGTTTTGTTCAACAATGTAGCCCAATGCTAACTCTTACTTAGATACATATTAGCTCAGTGATATGTTCCTAAGAAGTTACCTTTGTGCTTCATATGTTTTTAAAAATTTTTTTTTCAGTAAAGCTGCTTTTCAGAAATTCTGCCATATTTGACTTTTGCTTTGTTCCAGAAACATTTTATTATTTGTGCTTGGTTAACTTTTTATTATTGGCATGTAGCCAGTTGAGTGTCTTGTGTCAAAATTATAAGACGTTGCATTGGCAGCTTTACTGTCTTATTTACAATCTAAATGCTAAATAAGCCAAATTTATTATGTCCAGAAGCAGATTATCATAACTACAGTCATAGTCTTGCTTTAAGATCTCAAAGATTAAAATGCATCCACTAATAGTTATATTTTTCAATCAGTACTTTCACTAACATCAAACAAGACACCAGTGGTCAACTTTTAGTTTTCCATTTCATGAATCGGATAAAACAAAAGCTCATTCTTAACATAGTTCGAACCAATCAAACAAAGGATTAAATGAAATATAAAGCTATAAGTAAAAGATGTATGTTTTCTATTCTATTGTAGAAAAAAATGCTTTTGTAATTATGTTGAAAGTATAAAGTATTTGCTGGATTCTGCTTCCTTTGATGACGGTGACAAAACAATAATGTACAGAAGAACTCGTGTTGACAAAACGTGGCTGTGCAATTTATGTACATTTGCAACTAGACCTATTAAAGTTTTATTTAGCTATTTTAAACTCTCCTCCGTGTGCGTCTCTGCTGTGCGGTTCTCCGTGACGTTTTAAACCGCGGAGGCTGAATGGAGTCGGATTTGACGGCCTGTGCGATGGATCACGTGTCCATTAAAGACTCAAGGAGACCCAGATTGACTATAGGCATCCAGAGAGAACATATGCTCAGAGTGGGGACCCAAAGCCAGAGCGAAGGGTATGATGGAGACATGAATGAGTGGGTTTGAGCAGTGCCTACTTTTCTAGCATGACCTACATACTGCCTGATTGTTATTCCCCACAGTTGGTAGGGAAAGTCAAGACATGTGAAAGTGAAAAAAAGAGGGGGATTGGGGGGGGGGGGGGCTTTTCGAAACCTTTAAAATCGACACGAAATCCTCAGAAAGAGAGATGGATTATGATCATGTGTCGTGGCAGAAAAGCCGTGTAATGTTTTATTGCTGTTATATCTTTAACCGTATGTATTTTTGAAGTGAAGCTCTCATGTTGGTAATTACTCCCTGTGAGGCGAACCTGCTTCTTTAGCCAAAACTAAACAGGTTCCCTGCATCCAAGACACATTTAGGCTGCCAGACGTAATAAGCTCTACTATTAAATGTTTCAATAATTAAAAGTATGAAACATTGAGGTGCAGCTACTTCTTTTTCAGACTGGATCCTAAAATATGTTAGAAGAAGAAGAAACTAAAACGATGGTTTGAGCTGGGCAAGTTTTCTAAGGGATGAGAGGTAGAACATAACTCTGCCTGATGACTGCCACACATTTGTTGGACCAGTGAACGACGACAACAAACGCGCTGTGATGAATACAGACGGACCTCCGGCAGTCAGCTGGGACTGCCAGCCTCCACAACAGAAGGTCGAGGAAACGCGGGCAGATGGTTGTGCTGTGAAACATATCGACGGTCTTTAAAACACATTAAAAAAAAAAAGAGCCGCTTCCGATTCATCCATCAGGACGGAGTCGTAAACAGCACCGCGGTGCCAACGACAGAGGTGCCGGTATAAAAAGCAATATAAGGTTAAAAGCTGCAAACAGACTCGAGGAGCCCTCGCAGCTCAGAGCCGCTTGGGCCTCCTGGCGCCCGCCAGCCACTGCAGACGCTATCCCGCACCCGTCCACCAGGTGATATATGTACGGACGCGTTCGGCAGTGTACCATATTTTTCGGACTACAAGCGCTGCTTTTTCCCCTCACGTTTCGAACCATGCGGCTTGTAGCTCAGTGCTGCTTTTCTGTGGATTTTTCTTCTACCGCCAGGGGGCGCTTTAGCAGGAAGTGAATCATTGGAAGTCAAAATTGGAAATCAAAGAAGAAAGTGCTGATTTTCATTTTTAGAACAAGCACTTGCTAGCCAGCAGCAGGCGGGAAAATGTCTTCAAACTCATCAAGGAAACGACACGAATAAGTTCATATGATGCAGCTTTTAAGTTGAAGGGACCATCTGGCAGTACAGATCGGTCCCTTTCATTTTTAGAACAAGCGCTGGAGATGAAGGTTTGTGTCCTTTAATAAATCCAGCAGATTTGTGAAAAACCGAGAGCGGCTGAGATATCAGTGGCTTTTAGTCCTGTGAGGCTTATATATGTACGTTTCCAGTTAAATGTACATGTCTGCTCTATAGTCTGGAAAATACGGTACTTAAAAAAATTAGTAAATCCAATACTGTCACAAAGTTTTTGTCAAACTCATGTTTAGTAATAACAGGAGAGTCAGTTAAATCCTATTTAACTAATCTTGTATAGTTATTAAAATTATTTATAGCCAGTCTTGGTATATGTTGACTGCCAGTGGCTGTTTTCTTTTGTCACCGACTGATTTGACAATAGACATTTGTTTTAGTGTATTCAGAGTGCAGTGCTCGTTGGGGCAGACAGTGTTCTTTGAGTTTTGATTTGCCTCTGGGCTCTCTGATCCCTTATATTTTACTCATCAGGCCAGAATTTCACTTTTCCAACAGCTTTAAGACTGTTTCTGCTGTGCAAGACTGATGTCGTTGCAGAACAAAGAAACAGTGGAAATTTCAAGAAGGTGAGAATTTTGGAGGTGAAGGGGTTAATTGTTTTTATTCAAGAATCTTGTGAGTGATCATCTCAAAGTATTCCCAGATGTCATTTTTTTTTTTTTTTCCTCTTGCTGGCTCCATTTAAATCAAGTTTATTTGTGTAGCACATTTCAGCAACAGTGCAATTTGTTGGATGCAATAAAACAAAATGTGGGACAGTTAGAGGCGTATGAATACATTTGGAAGCGTGGCGATTGCCAACCTTGGACATTTCTGAAACAAAACAAGACATAGACCACATCTTTAGCTCCATCAGAATATTTTATTCATGTTTTCCAGTGTTATAAGTACATCTCGTTCACAGTTGACACTGTAGACGACCTTATTCCTCTCTTTCAAATGATCATAACCACCACAATGCTGTAAGTATGCAAGCTCTAGATTAGTATTCATAGCAAAAAGAAAGAAAAAAAAAACTTTTAGGTTAATCCACTTTGTGTTTTCACAGCTGCCCACACTGCAGACAGTTAATTCTTCGTTTGCATGTGACAAATCCATTCTTGATAATGGTGCAAAAGGTGAGGAAAAAACATGTTGCAATGTTTTGATATAACAATGACATTTAAACGTGGCATCCATCTTGCTTTCCTGTGGGACTTTTGGTGTGCAAAAGTTCTCCACGTCTCCTTCAGGAAACTATATATATTTTTTTAAGCCATGCATTCATGTTTTATTTTGAAATATTGACGCACTGTGGCAGTTACGTCACTAAAAAGTAATCAACCTAAAAAGTCACTGACAGGGAGGTCTGAGGCTGCCGACAGGAATAGCTTGCTGAACCGAAAGAGGATAAGTGAAATGCTTATTCACTTAACTCGTCACTAATGGGCTCATGGAGGACTAACAGCTGAGCCACTTGCTGTCAGGAGGTTGTTTTTTTGTTACTACCGAGCTGAACACAAAATAAATACAGTACCGAGCATAAACACACACTAGTACGCAATGTGTGCGCGCGCAGAAGCCCAGGCGGCTTTTCGTCAACCTCTGTGCAAACATACGTGTACATAGCTGCTGTGCAAATTCATTAATAACAGGTGCATATCAATAACTCAAGAGTATGATTGGAAGATACTTTGAGTATTTCAATTCAATCTGTTAAACTTGAGTAGTTCGATCATCCTGGCTCAGAGCTAACGAGAACCCAAGTTCAGTTCGCCAGAAAATTAGAGTATTACATATGACCAAGTAAAAAAAAAAAAAATAAAAATCGATAGATAGGTAGGGGGAAAAAATCCTACATTAATCCCATGAGCCATTTGAAGCATTTGGAAGAATTTGTGGCAAAAACTTGTCACTGACAAATTAAAATCTTAAAGTAAAAAAATGTATAATTATATAGTGTTCATCTTTTATTAATCTCATTTTTTCCACTTTTTTTTTTTTTTTTTTTTTTAATAAAATGGCTAAAAAAATACCAGAGAACCAAACAAAAACCTAGGGGACTCA